CAGTATTTGTCCCTTTGTGACTGAGATAGTTCACTCAGCAGCCTAAGGGCCCATCAACAAACGAATGGATAGAGAAGCTGTGGTATATCCACACAATGGAATAGTACGCAGCATTGAAAAACAAGGAACTCATGCAATATTATTCAAAGTGGGTGACCCTGGAGGACATTATGCTGAGTGAAAATTACATTATTTTCATGGCCTTCCCTTTAAAGTCTTTAAAATAAGGTAGATGTATATAGTCTTGGACTATACCTTTGCACTTTATAAATAAAACCATTAGCAATTTATTTCTAACAAAATTTTTTTAAAGTTCTTTTTTTCCACAAAAGATAGTTATCTTAATATTTGTATTTTATATCTAAGGATAGTATGTTACATTGCTTTCATTTCCACCATCAGTTTGCTATAAACGTTGTTAAAAGCTAGAATGAAATTTTCATTTTAAGGAAAAGCTTATGCTTGCGAATAGCTGTGCTATTCACAGTTGTTACAGAAGGAGTTAGAATTTATTACTATATTTTAATCAGCACATCTTAAAAATACATATTTAACATGGTGTTCTTATGTATTTTTAGATAGTTCGCTGCAAAGTAAATTTGTATCTCAAACACTTTATAAATTTACATTATTAAATGTGTTTCTATCAAAGAAAAAAAATTCCTTTTCTATGGTGGTGGTGGTGGTCAAGTACTGTTGAGTTGGAAACAACTCATAGCTGACCCTACAGCAGGTTTTCATAGACAGTCAATTGCATGAGGGGAGACTGCTCATGTTTCCCCCATGGAGCAGTTGGTGGATTTGAACCATGTGGATTTGAGTTGGCAGCGCAACTCCTCACACTGATGCCACGAGACCGCTGTGTCTATGGTAGATCCCAAAATAATATCTTTTATATAGCTTGTTACTTATTTCTTTAGAGAATAAAGTTGATTTATAATAGTGTATTGAAAATTAAGCTTGAAGCTTGTCTCAGAGTTATTGACAGTAAAGAAGGAAAACTAACTATAAATTAGAAAAAGTTGTATTGAGTTTAGACATATTTTAGTTACTGGTATGAATCTTAGTGGGTCTGAATATTCCTTGTCTTGTGCATATGTGAATTCGGGCTTTTTTAAGCCACTCTCAACTTTATCAATAATAACATTACAGAGTTTAATTGCATGTTTATAAATGTAGTTTTTTAAAATGTAAAACATTAAAATTTATTGTTTTATATTTATTTTTCTGTTTTGGATTTCAGAAATGGTAATTCTTTTTGTAAATGAAGTTGCTGTGTAACAAAGGATAATTGTAACATTAAAATTCCTAATGCATATCTTTATGCATTTATAAGATACTTATTTAGTTTAACAGTAAGATAAATCTTTGCAATCCATAGAGACTTTTTATTTTTATTTCTGTTTAAAAGTCTCAACTAAATTATAGAGTAATGAAGAGAAATGAACAAGTATAGTTATTGAAACGTTTTTTAAATTATCAAAGTTAGAATTTGAAGATTGTACTAGAAAAAAAATGTAATTATGAGACTGAATAAAGTAGTGGTAGGCCTTTTTGTATGTAAAAATTTATCACATGCCTAAGTAAATAGCTACAAAATCAATGATAAAACAAAGAACATCATAAATGTCCCTCACTGTAACTGTTATTAGCAATTTGAGTAGGTGAAAGTGATTTAGCTATTAATTAACCATGTTGTTATTGTTAAGTGTCACTGAATTGCGTATGACTCTTAGTGACACTATGAACAAAAGACCTAAACCCTCTTCTATAACTATTGTTATTTCTCTAATGTTCAAAGAGTTTCCAAAGACCTGTTGTTTATGAAGTGGATACCAATCTTGCTTCCAAGCCTGTCTTAATCTTGAAGTTCTAGCGTACCCTATTCACCATGAGTAACCATTATAGTATTTGACACACAGTGGAATAGCATTTAGTATCACAGCAACCCCAAGTTACCTCAGTAGAGCAAACTGACAAGTGCTATTTCAGTAAGAGCAGTGTTCATCCCAAGCACAATTAACAGCAGGCCTTAAAGGCCAACTTTTAAATACAAAGTCCTGCCCACCAGGTCCTGATTGGTTTAAACAAGAGGCTTCCAGCCCACAGCTGATTGTTGCCTAATCCAGGCACCCAATTTTATATACATATATATAATAATTATATAAATATTAGTGATATTGTAGCAAATGTTCTAGATGGATCTTGGCTGAAAGCAGAGAGTACCAGAGGAATGTCTATCTCTGTTTTATTGGCTATGCAAAGGCATTTGACTGTGTGAATCATAACCAACTGTGGCTAACTCTGAGAATAATGGAAATCCGAGAACACTTGATTGTGCTTATGTGAAACCTATACTTGGACCAGGAGGCAGTTGTCAGACCAGAGCAAGGGAACACTGCATGGTATTTAACCATAGAAAAACTAATAAAGTATTTGTCAATTCTCCAAGAACAATGACTTATCAAATTAAAAAAAGCTTTTTGCAGTGAAAAAAATACAAATTTTTAAGGAAAATTTTCTTTCTTATACAAAGAACTTGTACAAATTTATTAGAAAAACTCCAAAATATCAAACTCAGAATGAAATCAGCTGCTATTGAATCAATTTTGACCAATAGTGACCCTGAAGGACAGAGTAGAATTGCCCCTTAGGTTTTCCAAGTCCATAATCGTAACTGTAGTAGGTAGACTGCTACATCTTTCTTCCTCAGAGTGAACTCAAGGTTAGCAACTGAACACTTGAACCACTGTGGCACCAGAACTTTTAAGCACTCAGCTAAAAAACCAGACCAAACCTGTTGCCTGTAAGTCAACTCATACGGAACTGACACATAGCTGACCCATTGGTAGATTTTCAGAGGCAATATCTCACAGTAGTAGATTACCCGTTGTAAAACTGCCTCACAGGACCATCCAGGCCATACTCTATATCAAAGCAAAGGGCCACATCTTTATCCTACGAATTGATAAATTTGAAAGGCTGACCTTTGTTTTAGCAGCCAAGCCCTTAACTTTGGCACCACCTGTGCTCAATAAAATACCAGTGATTAAATGACTCATTGGATATAAGTATGCCGTCATAGTAGGTGAAATATGCTGGACAATAAAAGTATAAAGTTATGTAAGCTAATGTGTCAAGAAAATAAAGCTAGATGAATTTTACTTTTTCTCATTTTTAAATATGTGCTATAATGGCCAGTGTGTATAAGTATATAAGGTATGTGATATTTATATAGAGAGGAAATTGTTCATTATAATTCAAATATTGCATAATTTAAGTATTTTTAATAGCTTGACAATTAGTAATTAAAAATGATGGTTATGGTATCACTTTGTAGTAGTGAAAAATAAATCAGATTTGTAATACATTTAATATAGATATGTAAAAAACAAACAAAGCAGATACATTAGAGTATAAATAGTCATTGTATTAGTGGCAAAACCATAGGTCTTGTTCTCACTTTTTCAAAAATTTTATAATATAGGTAAATGCAACTCAGTTTTATGATTACTATCATTTTGTGAAAAAATTAGAAATTCTTGATTGTTGGATTTGTGTATTTCTATTGGAATACTACAGATTACATAGCTTCTTTTCTGAATATTTTAGTGATTGCTTCATTAATTGTTCGCCAGGCTCTATATTAAGCACATTGTAGACATTGTCTCATATAATGCTAACTTCAACTTTTTACAGTGTTTGCTATTATTTTTTCTCATTAGTAAGGGACTGAAGATTCACACACCTGTCTATCTGACTAAAGCAATTCTGTTACTCTGTTTATGAATATTACTTTATAATACAGTACCCACGGGTAATAATCACCATGGTAACTTGTTTTTCTTTAGTTGACCCCTTAGAGATTCAGATTCTTTTGATAGAGGCCAAGAGTCTACATTGTAAATCATTCAACATGATTAAGATACAAAAGCCCTTGGAAAGCATCTTCTATGCTGATATGTTTTCCATCAAATAACCAATGTAAAATAGTTGACTCACTTCAGGAAGAGAATTCCTTTTTCTATTTAATCTTAATATTTTTAGTTAAAGCAGAAGTCAAAGCTCCTTATGATAGAGCAGTGACTCACTTAGTGGTATTCTTGTGTCACAGAACCAATTTGTATTTAGAATTCTTCCAAGGAAAACTAAGAGAAATGTACACTTGATCTGTAGTGCCTATGCTTTGCAAAAGGAGCAAAGCTTTTATTGGTAGATGTTACTGTTAGTGTTGTGCCTGACTCAGCGCCCTGATAAATGACAGGTTGAATGGAGCAGTAGGTTCTGTATTACCAATTATGTGTTTGTTACTTAAATTTCTTTTGTTTGTTGGAAAGTAGGTATTTCAGAAGGAGCAATATTTTATGGGTCTACAATAACGTTTATAGTTATATTCTCAGAAAATAACTCTCCATAAGTGCTTTTGAGCATGAAAAAAGACAATTTAAAATTTTGATAGAAAAATTCAAGATAACAAAGTATATACAAATTAGATTTTATTCTCATATAAAGGTAAATAAATGATAAGTATATTTGCAATGCATTCTAATAATGATTGCTTTAATTGTACAAGGCATTTCTTTTGAAGAAGCTCCTGTTTTCTTCTGAGAAGTCATCGTGGAGGGATTGCCCAGGTATGATAATTGTCTTGGAAGGTTTAACGCAATCAATCTTTTAAATGATCCATAAAACATTCATTGGCAGTAGTTTAATAATAATTATTCATCTTAAAAACTAAGTGATAAATAGTATGTTTTTCTTATCAAAAATGTTTTTAAGCATTTCATGAGCGTTAACTTCACATTTTAAAATGAGTTTTTTAGCTAAGAGATATAAAATTGAGTTTTTTAGCTAAAAGATATAATTGAGTTTTTCAGCTAAGAAATATAAAATAGGATAAAAAATTGAGGTTTTTAGCTAAGTTAAAAAAATGAGTGACGGCCTCTGCGATTACTGGGGATGGGAAGGGAGAGGGAGAAGGGAGTAAAAATAAGTAGATAAGATGGTTAAAAAGAAAGGCAATATGTATGTAATAAAGGGTTAATCAGATGTAATTAATAATTACATTTTATTAACCATAGTTAATGTTATAAAACAAAATGTGTATAAATTAGTGAATGGAAAACTAGTATTTCTAAACTTCCACCTAACTGGAAAAAAAAATATATACAATAGAGAATAAAAGGCCTCAGTCCTCTTTCTAAAACATGATGCAACCCTGGTGGCACAATGGTTAAATGCTCAGCTGCTAACTGAAAAGGTAGTGGTTTGACCTAGTGTCATGGGAGAAAGACCTGGCGGTCACCTTCCTAATAACAGACAGCCTTGGAAACCCAGTGGGGCCGTTCTAGTCTACCTTTACAGTCAGTATCACTCAGAATCAATTCGACAGATTTTTGTTTGTCTAATAAATGATCAACTCAACTATTGTCTCCAGTCAGAACCAACTCATAGCTGACCCTATAGCAGGTTTTTGGGAAACTATAAATCACAAAGGAGAAAATTGCCTATCTTTCTTCCTTGAATTCTAATGAATTCAAGTCCACTACAGCATTAATGATCTAATCTGTGAATTAGAAGCTCAGTTCCTTACAGTCTACAATACCAGAGCTCCCTTATTAGAGATAAAATATCATAAAATCATGATTGTTGTTTTAGTTCTGACCAAGAACTCAGAATTACATTTTATGTTTTTGTATCATTTGGTATAATGCCTTGTATAAGCATAATGTAGAGTAGGACTTACCTAGTCAAAACAGACCCATTGCTGACCCCTCTTGGCGGGTTTTCAGACAGTTAATTGCATGAGAGGAAATTGCCCATTCTTTGCCCCCAGAGCAGCTGGTGGCCTTTAGCTGAGTGCCTTTGGGATTGCAGTGCAGCTTTTTACCACGAGGCCATCAGAGCTCTCAAACTTTAACCAAATTTATAAGACAGAGAAATGAGTTGTGCTACCTGATAGTAATGAACATTTGAATACACCTAACAGTTTACAATTAATTTTTCTTTACTCACACAATTTCATGTGAACAATTTCACAGTAACTTTGGGAAGAAGGGAGGATATTTTACCATTCTAGTTTTAAATACAAGTACTTACTAGTTTACATTCTAAGCTATACTCAGAAAATCTTAGTGATCTTTAATTTAGAAGTACCACTGTCTGTCATATCTATGCTAATAAATAGTTGAAAAGGCCACACATTTAAGAGAGTGTGATAAAAAGCTTCGCTACACTCTGGGAGAAGGTTGGTCAGTCTCCCATGTGATTTACTGCCTCTGAGATCCCACTGGAGGCTCAGCTGTTAGTTGGTTCTGACTCGACAGCATACAAAAATGTTGTTAGATGCCATTAAGTCAGCTACAAGTTCATTAATAAGTTCTAACATTTTTATGCAGAACTATTGACTTTAAAAGTTTTGTCTTAAGTGCTGTGAAATTTATAGTTGGCTCAGCTCCTGCGTCTAAAGCATATTGAGTTGTTGTTGTTTAATGCCGTCGAGTCGTAGATGCCTCATAGCGACCCTATGAACGAACAGCCTGAGCACTGTTCGTACATAGAGTTTCCAGTATTGAGAGACAGAAAAATCCTTATAACACAAGATTTTACATGCAGTGTGCTATGTATCTTACTCTCCTTATTTTAAACTTGAGAAAGTCTTCTGGAAAGTAATTTGGACAATGGTACTTTAAAAAGGCAAGGGTGACTAAGGTTCAGAATGGAATGATTTGACTATTTGTAGTATTTTCTATGAAATGGTGTCACTGAAAGATGGTTTTAGTAGTGTCTATATTATGTCACATAACCACTATAGCCTCTGCTGATATAATAGATTGTGGTGGTATATGTGCTGACAGTGTTCTCTCATTACCCTTACTCCTGTGGGACATGGTGATCAACGACATTAAATTAAAAGAGAACTAAGGAGGAGAGGCTAGTCTAAAGAGGCCTTTGCATTGTGCCTAGTTTTGCAGTGAAGGAAACCTCATGACTTAGATACTACATTTACCTTTTATTTTATTAAGGACTATCACATTCATATTTTCCAAGTGCCTATTCTTTCACATATTGTTTTTCAAGATTATTTTTCCAATTAATGATAATGCGAGAGTGGTGAAATTGTAATCCTCAATCACATTGTTCAGATTTGTGATTTAAGAATCTGATGTGTTTGTTTCTTCCATTAAAAATGAACAACTTATAAATATATGTATTTTTAATATTGTTTTTCATAATGGCTTTTTAATATCTTAGGGGAAACCACTGTAACTTGTTCTTTGGTTATTTTAGAGGAAGAACGGAAAGAACTCCTTTGTCACACCTTGTATGATATATTAGAAAGTGCTTGTTGTGACCACTCTGGATCCTACTGCTTGGTTTCGTGGTTAAGAGGAAAGACAGCTGAGGAAACTGCTAGTATTTCTGGGAATCCTGCAGAGTCTAGTTGCCAAGTGGAATCTTCTTGTAAGATACATTTTTATTTCATTACTATTTCTTACACCTTTGTTTTAATAAACTATTGAATTTAAGTTTTATTATTATAACATATGTTTCAGTTTTAGCCTAAAATGAAATTTAATTCATGAGTCCTAAGGTTTTGTTTTAAATCTTCTTTTCCTTTATTAATTTCATCTTTCAGCTTTTTAAAAAAAGGAAAAAATGACATCTTTTAAAATATGCTTACATCTAGTTAACTGTCACTTGATAACAGTCTTTAGAGTCAAATGTCTTAGTGTTATTCTTGGAGGGTATTTGGGGAAAATTATATTATTTAATATCAGAAAATTGCTTACTCCTGTATAGTTGCTTTCTAGACATAGTTCTTTAGTGTATGCTTTTAAGTGGTTTTTTTTCCCAATCCTGAAAATTCTTAGACATTGCTCCTATAGCTATTATTTGAAGTTGGTTTAAATATGAGTTGCCTTTATTTAAGTTTTTTATATATGGAAGATTTTTCTATTTGAAATAAAGTCATTATTCAATTTTTAAAGTGTATGTTTTCTCTTTCATTAATTAATGATATTTAGCCTTTGAAACTTCTTTTTTTCAAAATCTACAAATTATGCTGTTGTTCGTTGACATCGAGTTGGTACTGGCTGTTAGTTGACCCTCCAGCTAGTTTTCAGAGGCTGTAAATCACATGGGAGAAGATTGTCTATCCTTCACATGAGGAGCAACAGGTGGATTCGAACCACTTGCCTTTGGGTTGGCAGCACATCTTATCACTAAGCCACCACTGCTCCTTCCAAAAGGAGCTAGTATAATGGAAACTTTTGGTAGTTCATAAGCTAGATTAAAACATTATTCAGGGAATCCAGCTTGAGAGCCCTCTTAATAAAGCTGCTTTAGCTTTTAAGAAAAAAAAAATGTTCATTTGTTTTTCTTTATAGGAAATTATTTCTTTAGAAGGTGGTTTTTAAGTGTTTATAATCCATTAGTGATTTTTCCTACTATAATTTGGTCCATTAGCTATATAGATATATTCTCCAGGGAAATTATTTTCAAATAAATTTGATACCTGATTTCTAGAAAATACGTTTTAATTATTTGTGATATTTATCTTGATTTCCATATAGGACATATCTCTAAGCCACTACTTCTTCCCTGAGTTGAAAAATCTCTGTGATGTCAATATCTTCTCTGCCTTACCTTTACAGTTTAAGCTTGCCAGATTCTAATTCTAGTACACCCGTAACAAGAATTTTTAAAATGTAAGCAATTGCATCCTGCTAATTTTTCAAAAAGAACATAGAATATTTTTAGAGGTAATAATGACAGTTGAAGGAAAAAGTGGAAAATGATCACAAGGTTAACAGTCATAAATATCATAATATTATTTAAATATTTTCTGGTTTTTACTGAGATTCTTATTTATATGTTTAATAGTTTAAATATCAAAATTTTGAGAAGAATATTAAGAATATGTGCTCAAAGCAAGGCTATATATTAATGCTATGTAAATTAGAAAAATTTTTTGACTGAAAATTTGACCATTTACTTTGGATATTGACAAATGAACTGAATGTATTTTAAAATTTTTATTCCATATAACAATCTATCCTATCTGTTTTTTCCTTTATTTCTGTTATTTTTCTTGTGTTTTCTCTTTTTCCACCATCCTTGCCTGCTAAGCTTTTTATTTTGCCTGCCTCTTTTCTCTAAATTACTATGTCTACTTTCATAGTGTGTATACCAGTAAAATGATTGAGTTAATAATCAAGCACAAAACAGCTCAACTTAGGAAAACTTAGTTGTAATTTTTATTTTATTCTAGAATCTTAAATGTGAAGTGTTTCCTCTTTCATTGATACTACATTCTGTCCAGTCATTGGTTTCATTGGCTTCTGTGGTGTGTATAGTTTTGGCTTGTTGGTAGTGCACTCTTGTTTGCAGTAGTGACTACTCAGGTTCAAATTCAGTTTGTTTCCCACATAATGAAAATAATTTTTATTGGACTTCTAAAGATTTAAAAAAATAACTTGAAATGTTTGAAAATTAAAACTAGGTTTTGTAGTGATAGTATAAGGATGACATTTATATTGCAAATTTAACTTGTACATTTAATCTTGAATTAATGCTCTAGTGAGGATACATGAGACTACTAATATTTCTTTACAAAATATATATTAAGTTTTTCATTTTGATAAGCTAGAATAGGCATTTTCTAATTATGTATGATACAGAGACTTTTTCTTTGTGGAATCAACATTCTCTGGGTTCCCAGCTCTTCCATTTACTGTTGTGGGCTCTTGAGAAAGGTACATTTCCTGTGCCAGGGATTCCTAATTCTGTAAAATGAGGATAATGGAATTGTGTGAATTATATGAGAGAAAATCGGATCACTTCTTGGCACTTAATAACGTTCTTAATAAACATAACAGTTAATTAAAGTGCTTTCTTTTAAAAAAATTTATTGTTGCCTTAATAAACATTATCTAAATAAGTTGTAGATAGCTTCTCAATGTTATGAATAAAAGAGGAAACAAACAGATTTTATGTTGAACCTGTGTACTTTCAAAATGCTATGCATACATTTGTTTAATAATTAAGTATCAACCTAAAAATTTACAATTAAAAAGGAGTATAATGATTTTACATTTACATCTGTAAATTAAAAGATTAGTACACAGTGCAGGACACATTACAATCATATGTGAAGCACTATGATTGTCAATAATTTCTCATAATCTATGAAGATCCTAGTATAATTGAATTTAGAAGAAATGTTTGTTATTTTTAACCCTTTTATATTCTCAGTATTATATCCATTTTAGTTAAAATTATGGTAACTAAGATGTTCAATGTAAATTCATGTTATAGTAAAGTTAAACTGAGAATTTTAAGGGAGTAGAAAGTAGGGACAGATTTTGATTGCTTGAAAGTATTTACAGCCTGCTGTGTGTATCTTGTGTCATTTATTTGCCATGTGTAGTGCTGAAAAGTGTCTTTTATGTATAGCTGCCTTGGCTGTCGAAGAGCTTGGCTTTGAGCGATTTCATGCATTAATTCAGTAAGTAACATTGGAACATTTAAAATACTTACCTTGTGGACACATTGCCATTTTAAGTCTGTACTCTGGAAAGGTTCTTATACAATATGTACTACATTGTGCTACTTAAACATAAATTTAAAATCCATTGCTTTAGGGTTAATTAGTTTTTAACTTAGAAAAAGAATAATAATTTGTGGATATGTACTTAAATTGTTGTTGTTTGGTGCTGTCAAGTCACCCGTGACCCATATGAATAATAAATTAACTATCCATATACACCTTTTTTAGAAAATTAATTTTTTAATAGCTAGAAATGAAAAATAGAGTCATTTTAATGTAATGTTTCTCTGTTCAGTAAACATAAAGGATGGAATAAATATTAAAATTATTTACCAAAATACACTATTTTTCATTAAAAGTGCCCAACCCATATTTTCATTAGTTAATTTAAGCTTTTTGTTCTAAAATAAAGGTAATAATGAACTTGTTCATAGAAGTGACATCTAGTTTCACAGTGAACATTTTCTTCTAAAAGAAATCTATATCTTACCTTTGACATCCAGATATTTGTTAAATAATTTTTAGCCTTTAAAAAAATATTTTTCATTTTTTCTTAAACACCTCTTAAAGAAGATCATTCTGTTCTCTAAATAGCTATATATTGTTAAAGTTTATTCATGTCAGAGGAACATGTCACATAAGAGGTGATGAGGTCCCCTGCCCAGTTGATACATTGTATCAATGGTATATATTAATTATATTGACAACTGTCAGAATTAGTTGTGAGGTTTTTTCCAGCACTTGATTTTATGCTAAATTTGTATTAGAAAATTTGACATACAGAAATCTCTTGTTTTATGTTTACATTTTAATGTATGACAATTTATAGTTTGTTTTCCACTTATAAATGTAGTCGGTCTTATCCTGAAACTAATATTTTATTCTTTTTCCCCCCTTAGCAAAAGATCTTTCAGAAGTTTATCAGAATTAAAAGATGCTGTCTTGGACCAGTATTCAGTATGGGGAAACAAATTTGGAGTATTGCTTTTTCTGTATTCGGTGTTACTGACAAAGGTTTGTTTAACAAGATACTTCTCGAGACTTTATTAATTCACATTTAATTCTGATTTTCCTGGTGGGTGAATCATTTTATTACTGATGCTGTTTTTAAATCTCACAATAAATATTTTTCCTCATTAATTTATTTATTATGCGAGTTTATTTACAAAATTAGAATACACTTTTTCTGATCAGATTCTTCCAATTTCCCTCACACTACCCCCCCCACCCCCAAATAAATACTTCTTACGCTTGATAATGTAAGGAGCTCTGGTAACCTAATCCATAGAGAGTAGCATTGCTGCATCTCTGGTGATTTGAATCTACCATAGTGGCTCTAAAGGAGATAGATGGGCAGTATGGATCAATCGGTTTTGACTCCATGGCAATGACTTGACTTGATGATGCTGACACTTGACCCTTTCTTTCTCCTTCTGAAAGTACTTCTATCACCTACTTCTTGACTTTTCTAGTTCTCTTTCTAGGATTCCTTTTTATTTTCTCTAATAACATCCTTTCTTTCCTTATTTGCGTACACTGGGGTTTCTTTTTTATTTCATTATTTTTCTTTTTCCTTTCAAAGTTTGATTTTTAAAGTTCCCTTCAAGTGCCAATCTTACATCTCCAGTAGCCTGATAGTCTCAACTGAGTATCCGTCTAGATTTATGATGCCTGGAATTCCCTGTCTTTCATTTAACAAATATTTTTTGTGTATCAACTCCATGCTAGATACTGTGTGATGATATGGTATGCAATTTTTTTAATGTTTCCCAGTCAGTGTTAGGGACTTCTGGTGGCCTAGTGGTAAAAAGCTATGCTGAAATCCCAAAGTTGGTTTAAATATACCAGCTCTTCCATGGGAGGAGAATGGGCAATCTCCTGTGTGATTTACTGCCTCTGAGGACTGCTGGAGGGTCAGCTATGAGTCTTTTCTTACTCAGTGATGCACAACTTTAACAACAGTCAATTTCTACCTTTTGTATTCTTTTGTATTCTAGCTCTTTGCATATTCTGTTATAATACTTTGTCTTCAGTCTTTTGGAGTGGTCCTTTGAAATATTCTGCTCATCTTCAACATCTTTTCCTTTTGTTTTGATTTCTCAACACTGTAGTGCAATTATCAGTCTCTTCTGGCATCCTTTCTTCTCTTTCTTTTTAATGACTCTCCGTGAATGCTAATCATCCCATGATTGAGCTGGTCTTCTGTCCTTAGTGTTCTTTGCCTCAAACTTGTTCTTAATACGGTTTTTTAATTTAGGTGATTTTGTATTTTGGCAGTTGCGAACTTTCTTTAGTTTTCTTCAACTTCAACTTGCACATGAGTAGTTGATGGTCTCTTTGACCGCATCTGCCGTGGTTTTGGCTGCCGATGCTGAGCTTCTTCAGTGATTCTTTCCACTGATGTAGTCAGTGTGATTCCTGTGCAGTCTATCAGGTGAAGTCCATGTATATAGATGCCACTTCCTATGCTTGTTAAAAATTATGTTTGTCATGAATAAATCACTGAATGTACAGAATTCTGTAATTCTATTTCCAGCCTCATTTTTCTCCCCAAGTCCATAATTTTCAATGGCCAGTGCTTCTGCTTTGTTTCCAACTTTTGCATTCTTGTCACCAATTATTATTAATGCATCTTGACTGCATATTTGGTCAATTTCAGACTGCAAACATTGGTAGAATTCCTCAATTTCCTCTTCTCGAGCTTTAACTGTTGGTGGTATATTAGAGTAACAGTTGTTTTAACAGGTCTTCCTTGTATGCATATAGATAATAACTTATCACTCACAGCATTTTGACCATGAATGCAACACCATTCTTCCCCAAATTTTTGTTCCCAGCGTAGTAGATCATCTGATTCAAAGTGGCCAATGCTAGTCCATCTCAACCCACTAGTGCCTAGACAGTCAATCTTTTACGTTCCATTTAATTTTTTATAACTTCCTGTTTTCCTACATTCATTACTTCATTCATACATTTTTATGTACCCATTTTTCATGGATGTTTACAGCTATTTGTTATTTATTTTCTTTTAACATCTTCCACTCTAGGGATCCTACCTCTAGTATTATGTCTAATAGTATTTCTCTGAATTGTTTGTAGATTTTTCACAGGCCATATATTTCAGAAGTGGATTGCCAGTCTTTCTTCTTCATCTCTCTTAATCTGGAAGATCTGCTGAAACCTGGCCACTGAGGGTGAACTACTGGTGTAAATATTAGTAGCAGAATCTCCAGCATTATAGAAGCCAGCAATCTACCTTAGTACAGTAAACTGACAGGCAAGAGCAAACAATGAACAAGCAAGCATACATATACACAAATTATAAAGTAATAAGCATCATTCACTTCTTTACATTCCACCCTTGCACACTTTCCCCAACCAGTATATCAAACTGGCCAATAAATACTGTACCTAATACTGTATAATACTAGCAGAGCCTGGCCTAACCTGCTGACTTCTCCTAATGAGGATGGCTCAGGCTCTAGTTACGACTGTCCTTTGTCTGACATTTCAGCATTGTTGCTGCAAGCTCTAAATATAAAGGCCCTTATGTATCATGCAAAATAAGGGTTTAGACTTCATCTTGTAGAGAATAAAAATTTCAGCAGGGTAGTTTGGTATAGGTGCTTCGCTAGAGATAGTTATATATAATGCAAAATTAAAGTCAGGAAACAGACTATTAAAATAGGTAAAACCTAGGGTAAGAACAATGGAGAGAAAAAAAAGAAATGGTGAATATTTAGAAATATGTTTAAGAGAAAGAGCCAAAACTGCTTGGTATTTGGTTAGATGTGGTGAATAGCATTGATGGTGGTATAAAAGAAATGCGTGAGTTTTTTAATAAAATTTTTATTTTATACTGGTTTACTTACAAAGTGTTTTTCGCACGAGAGCTTTCCCATTTCCTTTACCCACCTTTTCCTCCACTCATCAAATTGTGTGACCGTATAATTACCCCCCTGCCCATCCTCACCCCTCTACTCCTCCCCTCCTCTTCTTGTATTCCCTTACATATTTTACTAGTTACCTCTTTATTTCTACAATAATAGTCATATACAGCATTTTTCCTTATAGGACTGAGTTTGTTCACTTAGACTAATGTTCTCCAGTCTCTCCCAAGCTATATAGTTATTTACAAAATCATTGCTCCTGCATGCTGCATATTATTCCATCATGTGCATGTACCATACTTTTTCAATCCATTCGATTGAGGTTGGACATTTGGGCTGTTGCCATGTTCTTGTGATAGTAATAACACTACTATGAACATTTGTACAGAAATTAGTACATTGTGTACAAATGTTCATTTGTGCCTCAGTTCTCATTTTCTCAAGTATATTCCAAGCAGTAAAATAGCTGGGTCATAATGAATTTTTTTATGTTCAACTCTTTGGGGAAATGCCAAACTGCCTTCCAGAGTGGTTGTACCTTTTTACTATCCCACCAACAATGTATAAGAGTTCCTGCCTCTCCTTCTCCTCTCCAACATTTATTACTTGATGTCCTGTAAACTTTGCCACTACTACTGGGGTGAAGTGGTACCTCATGGTTTTGATTTGCATCTCTCTTATTACCAGTGATTTTGAGCATTTCTTCATGTGTCTATTGACTATCCAAGTATCTTCCTCTGTGAAAAGTCTTTTCATGTCTTTGACCTATTTTGTAATTCTGGTATTGTTGGATTCTGTAAACTTTTGATATGGGACACTTGTCCGAAAATGTATTGCCAGGAGTTTGTTCCGAGTTGGTAGGTTTTCTTTTCACTCTGTTGAGAAAAGTTTTTGATGCGCATAAGGATTTACTCTTTAGAAGGTCCCATTCATCAATTTTATCCTCTCCAGATTGTGCATTTCTGGCTATATTTGGCAGTCTCTTTATACCATAGACTAGGTCTACTAAGCTTGATCCCAGTATGTCTCTGATGAACTTTATGGTTTGGGCTTTACTCCCAGGTCTCTGTTCTACCTTGAGTTGATTTTTGTGTATGATGTGAGATAAAGATTCTGTTTCAACTTTCTGCAGATAGCAGTCCATTTTGTCAGCACTGTTTGTTTAAGAGCTTGTCATTTCCGTATTTTATATCAGTTGACCATAGCCAAATGAGTCATTTCTGTGTTCTCAGTTCTGTTCTATTCACTGGTCTATATGCCTGTCATTGTACCAGTACCATGTTGTTTTGGTTACTACCACTATGTAATAGGTTTTAAGGTCAGGGAGTGTTAATGCATCCAGCTTCATTTTAGTTTTTCAGAAGTGCTTTGCTTATGGGGTCTCTTTCCTCTCCAAATGAACTTGACAATTTCCCTTTCAATCTCCTTGAAAAATTAATTTTGTATCCATATAGAGATTTCATTGAATATGTACATTGCTTTTGGTAGGATTATCATTTTCACAATATTGAATCTTTCTATCCATGAGAAAAATATGGAATGCTTCACAAATTTCCGTGTCATCCATGTGCAGGGGGACATGCTAATCTTCTCTATATCATTCCAGTTTTAGTATATATGCTGCTGAAATGAAGAATTCGGATGCTTGAATTCTTGTGGCTCTTTTGATTGATGATTATTCTCAGTTGTTTTTGTTTTTTTTGTTTTTTAATACCTTGCCACACACTTAAATTGATGACCATGCTTAGAAACACATTTTTTTCACTATAGTGTTATTTGTGGCAACGTGTTAAATGTTTAAAATCTATAGTACTTATTTTTATCATGGCCTTCACAGCTTCAGTTTGCTCGGCTCCACAGTCAACACTCTTGGCACTAGCAGCCAGGAAATAAAAAAAACGTATTGCGATGGGAAAGTCTGCTGTTAGGGACCTTTCTAAAGTACTCAAGAGCAACGGTGTCTCTTTGGAGACAAAGATGCACCTGATACAGGCCATGGTCTGTATCAGAGAGCTGGACAATGACTAGGGAGGACAGAAGGAGAATTGACGCCTTTGAGCTGTGGTGCTGGAGAAGAGTATTGAATGTACCATGGACTGCCAAGAAAACAAACAGATTCATCCTGGAGAGGGTTAAACAAGGCTACTCCTTGGAGGCAAGGATTCTGGGGCTTCATCTGACATACTTTGGACATGTTGCAAGGAGAGACAGGTCTTTGGAGAGGGACATCATGCTGGGTAGAGTAGAGGGACAGCGCAGGAGGGGAAGACCCTCTATGAGGTGGATTGATTCAGTGACTGGGGTAATCGGGATGGGTGTGTCAGAGGCAATGCGACTGGCACAGGATAGAGCAGGGTTTAGGGCTGTTGTACATAGGGTCGCTATGAGTCGCAAACAACTCGACGGCATCTAACAACAACAACAACATTTATAGTCAGTAAATCATCATGTTTTTTTCTTCTTCCTTGAACAGGTTTTTGGACTTATATCTGGTCTCTCCCCAGTGATTGTGTCATTTGTTCACAGTATTCATTTTTACTTTATCTTAGCTTACTTTGTATTGTTTACTAGGAAGCCAGGTGTCAAATAATCATGCTTTATTTCTCCTTATGTTACTTAAGGCAGTCATTAAATCTTACGATTGTTGATTGATCATCTGCTAAATATAACCTGTAATGGAATAGGGAACCTAATAAAGTTAGGTGACTGGGACAATGAATGGCACATTATCATCTTTGTCATTTTATAGTTAATAAAGTTAAAATCCCTAGGGCTGCTTGTATCTAGACCTTTGGGAATTGAAAAGCTATATTGATAGATCAGTTTTTAAGAAATAAGGAGCTTCCTGTCCTTCTGAGTTACATTCTTTTTTGTTAGTGGAAACTTGAGCTAGGAGCTTAGTAGCACAGTAGTGAAACTTAGTTGTTAACTGCCATTTTGGAAGAAAAAAAACTGTAGTGGTTTGCAGTTCATGAAAATAACTGTCCAAGAAATTCTACAGGGCAGTTAAGTTCTGTCCTGTCTCAGTTACTCATTTCCATCAGGTGGGATCTTACTCGTAGCTGACCTTCCATTGAGTTTGTGAGGCTGTGAATCACACCCAAGGAGATGGCCCATATTTCTCCCTTTGAGCTGCCAGTGGATCTAAGCTGAAAGAAAGGACTTTGGATTTGCAGTACAACTACCTAAGAATTATACCACCAGAACTCTCTATACTGTCCTTAGGGCTACTCTATATTGCAATTTACTACATGTGATTTGTTTGTGTGTTCTTACAAATAATGGTAATCCAGTCAGAAGCAAGCCCAGTCTCAGGTTAATGAACTTACTAGGTTATAAAAGTCTACTGAAAAACAATCCCTACTTACTCTTTAATGGCATATAAATGTGTCATTACTTTAGAAAGGATTCTGTTTGAACCCACCAGTAGGAGAAAGATGTGTTGTTATGCTTTTATAAAGATTTATTGTTATTGTTACTGCTGTTATGTACTGTCAGATGGAACTGACTCATAGCAGATTCTCTGGCAGATTTTTAGAGGCAGTAAAATCCTACAGAAGGAGATTACTCATCTTCTCTCATGGAGCATTTGGTAGTTTTGAACTATGTGCCTTCAGGATTGCAGTGCAGCGTCTTACCACTAGGTCACTAAAGCTCCCTTTAATTGGCTATTGTTACTGAACATTTTGCTAGAAGATTCTGCAAGAAAAACCTGATCAAAAGAGATAAAATGTACAATAGAATTTGTAGTTCTCATGGAATCCAGACTGTCATGAAGCTAATGGGACTTGTTGAACCCTGAAATAAGTGTCCTGAGGTAATCTTTGGAATTTAAACAAAAATTATCTTCTCAAGTTTTGGAAAATCAAACAGCAGTTTAACCTAACTAGAAAAAAAGTTCCTAACTTGAGCATTGTATTCTTTTAAGAATGATATATATAGATTCAGTGCAACTGGAAAGATTAGAAAGAGATCTTATGGGCATTGAGTTTATGTTAATGGGGAAAGAATAGATTAGAAAAGGTGATTGACTGAATTGTGCATGTAAAAAGAGCTGGCTTTGTAGGTGTTGCTATGTATATTCTGAACAAAGTAAAATTACCTTTTAATGACTTACATAATCATGTTTTATTAATTTATAGTGCAAATAGCTCACTTTATAAACTACCATAATAATAATAATATCTAGCTTTCAAAGTAAGTCAGTAAACTTTTTTGTTTGTTTCTTTAGGGTATTGAAAACATAAAAAATGAAATTGAAGATGCAACTGAGCCTTTAATAGATCCTGTATATGGACATGGCAGGTACTTAAAATCTGTATCTAAAAGCTAGTGTTTAATTTCTCTACTCATCAGGTAAAACATGACTGACTCAGTTGGTGCCATCACTACTGTTGATGACAGAAAGTCTGAATTTGAACAGTCATGTACTTTAGGTATCACTTGATTTATGTGTGAAATGTATGATATGTATCTTAGATATATATGAGTTTCATTTATTCTGGCAAGTATTTTGTTTTAAGATGACAATGGGGAAATATTTTAACTTTCTACTTTATATTTATGATTTTTTTAATAAATAAAATTTGTTCATCTTGACTTTCAAATAAAGTATCCTTATTCGTTTTAAATGTTTTGCTGATTGGAAGAGAAAAAAGCCCCACCCATTTTCTTCCCTCTCAAGCTTTATATCAGTGTTTTTAATAAAATATCAATTTGATTGTTGACCAAAAGCAAAAATAGTTAAACCAATCTAATACAGGGATTCTTTTTTCTAGACATTTTTCTAGACATCTGCCTCAGAGATTGAATTTCACTTTTATCAGATGCAAAATGTTGTTAATAATAAAGGCCATTGTTATAAATAATGAATAAGTAATTAAATATAATTTCTTTGTAATCAATTTACATAATTTAGATAAAACTCTTACATGATATAAGAATAATTAGAATGATATTGTTGTAGCAATACATTTAACAAGACAATGTTCTTATATAAAATGAAAGGTGTGTGATTTTTTAAATCTTTTTTTGTTATTTGAGTAAAGTTTACAGATTCAGTTGGCCTTCCATTCAACTATTTATATGTGTTTTGTTTAAAGACAATTACTGTACACATATTAATTTATTTTCTTAAAACACATTGATGCACAGAGTCATTGCTTTATGCCTATCAGTTAATTTGAAAATTGAGTTCCTATTTTAATTTCTGCTTAACTTTTATTCTTAGCCAAAGTTTAATTAATCTCCTGTTGACGGGACATGCTGTATCGAATGTATGGGATGGTGATAGAGAATGCTCAGGAATGAGTGAGTATATTTCTTATTGTCATTATATCTTATGATTAATATGTGACAAGAATATGATTGATCTGCATATTGGCTCTACATTACTTTAGAGTTAAGTCCCTGCTAAAGGAAGAGTCCTTTGCAATTTTGAGAGCATCATTACATTAAGAGAATAATAGACTTTGGGGTCAGAAAGTGGTTTTAAATCCCAAGTGTATGATTTTGGTGCAGTTACTTAACTTCCAAAGCCTTCAGCTTTGTCTTGAGTAAAATTGGGATGTATAGCTATGCTCTTTAGATAAATAAGTAAGCCAAAACCAAAATACTGACATCAAAATGGTTCTGACTCATAGTGACGTTATTGGACAGAATAGAAATGTTTTCCCGAGGTTTCTGAGGCTGTATTCTTTACGGAAGTATATTGCCCCCTTCCCCCCACTCATGTGTTCTACACAGAATGGCTATAGTAAAAACAACCAATCTTTTGGTTAGTGGCTGAGCATTTTAACCATTGTGCTACCAGGGCTCCCTCTTGTGTAAGCGTGCATTTGTATGTATGTATACACACTTTTGTCCAGTGGAATTTTTCTAAGTCCTAGAATCTATTGCATTCTTGTTTACAATTGAAAAAAAATATAGATTTTTTTTTTATATTTAAATACTTGCTTTGTAGTTTTTCCTGTTTATTCCATGACTTTCCCTTCTATATTTCTTTTAAAACAAATAAGCAGTTTTATTGGGTTAAATATATATAACAAATATTTCCCATTGTAACCATTTCTAAATGTATGATTGTGACATTAATGACATTAACCATATTATACATCACTACTACCAATATCCAAATATGTTTTGTTACTCTAAGCAGAAATTTAGCACCCACTAAGCAATAACTTTTCCTCTCCTCAGCCTCCCCTCAGATCCTAATAACCACCTGTCAACTTTTTGTTTCTGTATTTGCTTATTATATTTCATTAAAGTGAGATCATACTCGACGGCACATAACAACAACATCATACAAAACCTGTCTTTTTGTTTCTAATTTCTTTTAGTTAAATAGTATTTTCAGTGTTCATCTATGTTGTAAGATTTTTTCAGAGCTTCATTTCTATTTATGGCTTAATAATACACATTGTCATTTTTTATTTCAAATCACATTTTGTTTATTCATCTATATATTGATGTACACCAAGTTGTTTGTAATGAATGATGGACATTAATGTATAGATATCTGCTGGAGTCTCCTTTCTAGTGTTTTGAATGTATACAGCATATGAGTGATATATTGTTGTTGTTGTTAGGTGCCATCGAGTCACAGGCGACTCATAGCGAGCCTATGAAGGAGAGTCCTCAACGCTTGGGTGCCTTTCATCCTCTCTCCAGATTCATAGGGTTTCCGTAGGCAAGCTATTACGGAAGTGGATGCCACTCCTCCTTCCAAGCTTGTTTTAATCTGGGAGCTCCACCCCACTCCTGTCCACATTGGGTAATCAGCCATTAATGCATTTGACACAACAAACAGTGTCACAGTGTTCAGCCTCACAGCAACCACAAGTGACTGCTGTACAGCAACTTGTATACCAGGGCTATACGACCTAGAGAATATCTGAACAAAAACAATGAAAGACAGGCCCGAGGGCCGCAGATTAAAAGTCACCCACCTTCGGCTTGGTAGCATCGCCTTCTGTCCACTGGGCCAGCTGATCTTTCTCTTTATGTTGACATTGTTGTTAGGTGCCATCGAGTCGCAGGATAGCTGGATCATATGGTAATTCTGTGTTTAACTCTGAGAAACTACAACCACCAGAAATGTTTAACTCTGAGATACTTCCCCACCAGAAATGTTGTTAGGTTCTGTCTCAGTCTGGATTCCCTAGAGAAGCAAAGCCTACAAAGTACGTGTCTAGAGATGTAGTTCAAGGAAATGGTTCACCCAACTTGTAGAAGTTGAGAAGTCTCAGGTCTGTGAGTCAGACAGACCTCAGGAGAGAAGCGTTTGAAGATGCTGTTGAACCCAGGCCATTAATAAGCAGGGCCAAAGACTGCTGGTTTCTGAGACTAAGAAGCCTAGGTCTTTAAGAAGAGCAGGCCATTGTTCACAAGGGATAAGCCAGACACAGACTAGGACAGATAGCACTCTAGCTTTGCCATGGGGAGCTTTGGTGGCCTAGTGGGAAGAAGTTGCACTACTAAACCAGAGTCAGACAGGGCATATGCACTAGCTGTTCCACTGAAGAAAGATGGACAATCTCCTCCCATGCTGTTTACAGCTCCTGAAAGAGGAGGAGAATACTTATGCTCAGACTTAAATGAACCAAAAAAGTAAAAATAGAACCTAAAGACTAGGACACGATGTCACCTAATAACAAAAAACAAAAACTAAGAAAAAAATCTTGGCAATGGCATATCAGATAATGATATATTTAGTCTCTAAAATGTGGAGCGTCAACACCTAGATGATCAGAAACAATCTAATAAAAAAAATGGGCAAAGGACATAACAGATTTCAAAAAACATCCAAAGAGTCAATCCAGGGGCTAACAGACTCATGGAGAGAAGTGATCAGTAGACATTAAACCAGCTGCAATTAAGTCCATTCATACTCATAACAGTTCAGTAGGAAGCAGAACTGCCCTCTAGGTTTTCTGAGGCTAGAAATGTTTACAGACGTGGACATTCTCCCAAGGAGAGGCCAATAAGTTTAAATCACCTTTTGATTAACAACTGTACTCTTTAAGTACTATAATACCAGGGTTCATTCTTGTTGTTAGGCACCTTTATATCTGAAGGTCAGCTATGAGTTGGTTCTGACTGGAGGACACATAACAACAGTAGCCTTGACAGAGTCCATATATATGACCAATGCAAGCCACAACCCTGAAATGTCATCTCTTCATCAGATCAGGCTTGATCATATAATTTCCTTCCTGCTGCTAGTCTTGTGCATTAATATCCTCAAGGCTAGGCTTTACAGTACAAGGATAGTTGCATTACACTGAGAATCATGGCCATGCTGAAACACAGTATTAACCATTACAGGCTCCAATTTTTCCACATCCTCATCAACACCTGTTATTTTCCTTTCTTTTTTTCTGATAGTAACCAATCCACTGTGTATAAAGTATTATCTCACTGTACTTTGCATTTGCTTGTGACTGAACATTTTTTCCATTGGTCATTTGTATGCCTTCTTTGAGGAAATGTATGCTCAAAGTACTTTGTCTGTTTTTCAGTGGGGTTTTTATTGTTGTTAGGAGTTGTAGAAGATCTTTAAATGTGCTGATATTAAGTCCTAAACAGACTTATAGGTAGCTTCTATAGATTCCTTCCTGTATTGTTTTAACATGCCAAATTTACTTTAAGATGCTGGGTGAAAGTAATGTTTTCTGAGCATTATAATTCACTCCCATCTTCATTTATGGTTCTCCATTCAGTGAAATTTGTTAATTAATTACAAATATTAATTCTGTAAGAGTTTTTTCCCTACAGCCCCGGTGTATTTTCAGGGACATATAAGTGGAAATCATTTTACCCAATTTATCAAGTTAAAGAGGACTAATAAACAGCTCTGGAAAAAATTCTCTCCAGTGAGTTTATTATTACTGGGTCAATCTAATCATTTGGCTTTATATAGATTTATTGAAGTATGTAGCATAGGCCAGAAAATTCCATACTTGGCTAGAGTTCATAGAAAAATTTCTTTCTTTTAGAATTACATAAAATGGTAGAAGAAAATATGATAATTTATAGACTAAGATATACTTTTTACTCCCATTTATACTTGATTTAGATTAGACAAAAGATGAGGTGACTTTGTTACCCTATTTAACAAAGATATGAACTTAGATAATTTTTTTTTCCAAATTTTCATACGAGTTTATTGAAACTAAGGAGGACCTGAAGCATTTGTTGCAGAAGGCCCAGGACTGCAGCCTTCAATATGGGTTAAAGCTCAACATCAAGAAAACAATGATTTTTACCACTGGGCCAATTGGCAGCATCATGGTAGATGGTGAAGAGATTGAGATTGTTAACAGTTTCAGCTTGCTTGGCTCCACAGTCAACACTTTTGGTAACAGCAGCCAGAAAATCCAAAGATGAATTGCGTTGGGAAAATCTGCTCTGAGGGACCTCTCCAAAGTACTGAAGAGCAATGATGTCAGTCTAGAGACTAAGGCATGCCTGACTGAGGCTGTGGTCTTCACAGTTACTTGCTATGCATCTGAGAGCTAGATAATGACTAAAGGTTATAGAAGAAGAAATGATGCCTTTGAGTTATGGTGCTTTACAAGAATATTGAATATACCGTGGATTGTTAAGAAAACAAACAGGTCTATCTTGGAGAGGATGAAACAAGTCTGCTCCTTGAAAGCTTCATCTGACATACTTTGGGCATATTGCAAGAAGGGATCAGTCCTTGGAGAAGGACATCATGTTTAGATGGGTGGAGAGACAGGCGAAAGAGATGGAGACTCTGGATGAGATGGATTTACTCATTGACAGGGGTAATGAGGGTCAGTGTGTCTGATAACGATGAAATTGGCTCAGGATAGATCAGGTTTCAGAGCTGTTGTGCATAGGGTCTCTGTGAATCAGAGTCGACTCGATGACACATAACAGCAAGATGTTATATGCTGCTGAATCAGAACTGACCCTCATAGCTCACCCACAGTTGGTTTTCAGAGGCTGTAAATCACAACAGAGGAAATACCTCATCTTTTTCTGCATAGCAGCTGGTAGATTCAATCCACCTGTGCTTGGGCCAGCCGAGCAGCTCCTTACCATCAGAACGCCAGAGCTCCCAACATGAGTATAGTTAAGCATCTTAAGGAGCACATCTTAACCCTTCATTTTGGTCTTTAAGAAATGTAGAATTGGACAGATTCCCTACACTAGGTGGTATATGCAGAATTGCTCATTTTGTGGTAAGAGTAAAGGGAGAGACTAGTGGATTCACTTCCAAGGAGGGGCTAGAGCATTGCAGCTTACTACAAACTACCCCTCCACAGCTCCCTAAGTCA